TTTTTTTTTTTTTTTTTTTTTTTTTTTTTTTAAGACAGGGTTTCACCACGTTGGTCAGTTTGGTCTCGAACATCCGACCTCAGGTGATCCTCCCGCCTTGGCCTCCAAAGTGTTTGGGTTACAGGCGTGAGACACTATGCCCGGCCCACACTTATTCTTTTAGTAAGGATATGCAAGGGCCAGGCGCAGTGACTCTTGCCTGTAATCCCAGCATTTTGGGAGGCCAAGGCAAGTGGATCACCTGAGGTCAGGAGTCGAAGATCAGCCTGGCTGACATGGCTAAACTCTGTCTCTACTAAAAGTACAAAATTAGCCAGGCTTGGTGGTGCGTGCCTGTAATCCCAGCTACTCGGGAGGCTGAGGGAGGCAAATCGCTTGAACCCGGGAGGCAGAGGTTTCAGTGAGCCGAGATCGTGCCATTGCACTCCAGCCTGGGCAACAAGAAAGAAATTCCATCTCAAAGAAAAAACAAAGACATCCATTATATTGATTAAGGCCCACCATGGATGGCCCCATTTGAACTTAAATGTTAGGCCAGGCGTGGTGGCTCACGCCTGTAATCCAAGCACTTTGGTGGCCAAGGCAGGCGGATCACCTGAGGTCGGGAGTTCAAGACCAGCCTGACCAACATGGTGAAACCCTGTCTTTAAAAAAAAAAAAAAAAAAAAAAAAAGAATGAACTTAAATGTCTCTCTTCTTTTTTTCCTCAGCGTCCTGAGTAGCTGGGATTAGAGGCATGAGTCATCACACTCTGTTAATTTTGTATTTTTAGTAGAGATGGGGTTTCTCCATGTTGGTCAGGCTGGCCTCAAACTCCCGACCTCAGGTGATCTGCCCGCCTTGGCCTCCCAGAGTGCTGGGATTACAGGTGTGAGCCACCTTGCCCACCACAAGAGTGGTTTGTTTGTTTGTTTGCTTGTTTTTGTTGAGATGGAGTTTTGCTCTTGCTGCCCAGGCTGGAGTGCAATGGTATGATCTCAGCTTACTGCAACCTTCCCCTCCTGGGTTCAAGTGATTCTTTTGCATCAGACTGACCAGTAGCTGAAATTACAGGCATGCACCACCACGCCCAGCTAATTTTTTTTGGCCAAGGCAAGTGGATGAAGAGAGTTGGGGTCATCATGTTGGCCAGGCTGGTCTCAAACTCCTGACCTCAGGTGATCTGCCCACCTTGGCCTCCCAAAGTGCTGGGATTACAGGCGTGAGCCACTGTGCCCAGCTGGTTTTTTTTTTTTCTTTCTTTTTTTCTTTTTTGAGACGGTGTCTCACTCTGTTGCCCAGGTTGGAGTGAAGTGCCACAGTCTTGGCTCACTGCAACCTCTGCCTCCCGTATTCAAGCCATTCTCATGCCACAGCCTCCCGAGTAGCTGGGATTACAAGTGCCCGACTATGCCTGGCTAATTTTTGTATTTCTAGTAGAGACAGGGTTTTGCCATGTTGGCTGAGCTGGTCTTGAACACCTGACCTCAAGTGATCTGCCTGCCTCAGCCTCCCAAATCCAGGGATTTGGGATTATAGGCATGAGCCAATGTGCCTGGCTTGAGTGAAAGTTTCTCTTTCTTTCTTTTTTTCTCTCTCTCTCTTGCACTTTTCTTTCTCTCTCTCTCTCTCTCCCCCTTTCCTTCCTTCCTTCCTTCCCTCCCTCCCTCCCTCCCTTCCTTCCTTCCTTCTCTTCGTTTCCTTACCTTTTTCCTTTTTCCTTTCCTTTCTTTCCAGATGGAATCTCTGTAGCCTGGGCTGGAGTGCAGTGGCACTATCTCAGCTCACTGCAACCTCTGACTCCCAGGTCCTGGTTCAAGCAGTTCTTCTGCCTCAGCCTCCCGAGTAGCTGGGATTACGGACACACGCCACCAAGCCCAGCTAATTTTTGTATTTTTAGTAGAGACGGGGTTTCACCATGTTGACCGGGCTGGTCTTGAACTCCTCACCTTGTGATCCGCCTGCCTCGACCTCCCAAAGTGCTGGGATTACAGGTATGATCCACTGTGCCCTGCTGAGTGCAAGTTTCTACTTGGCTTTCAGACTGATTCTGCATCTGTGCCCCACTCCTCAGCCTCTAAACACCTGCTTGTTTTCTGTGATAACTAGAGACATGAATAGTTATTTACAACAATAGAAAGCCCGGAGAATTGAATGGCACATAGTTCAGGGTGCTGCCTTCCAGGGATTCAGTTTAGTGAGAGAAACAGAAATGGCATTCACACACCTAAGTATTCTCCAATGTATAAATTGCAGCCTGGGCAATGTAGTGAGAGCCTGTCTCAAAAAAAAAAAAAAAAAAAAAAAGAAAAAGAAAAAAGATAACGGTGGGATTGTATTCCTGCAGACACCAAGGACCCTCCCTAATTAGCTTTGTGTGACTTGGGGTTGGGGCAGACAGCAGATCCGGAGGAGGAATCTTGGAGCCAAAATTTCTACTGTCTGAGTCTTCCCCGTCATTCAGATCTCAGTTCAAATATCCCTCCCTCAGAGAAGCCTTCCTTGACACCCATTTTAGAGCAGCACACCCCCATTCTCTAACACGCTGCACTGTTTTGTTGCCTTCAGGGCACATATGATTCTGGGCTGTTTTACTATTATCTATCTATCATCTATTTATTTATTCATTTATTTTTGAGACAGGATCTCACTGTGTCGCCCAGGCTGGAGTGAGTGGCACCATCACAGCTCACTGCAACCTCAAAATCCTGGGCTCAAAGGATTTTCCTGCTTCAGCCTGCAGGTAGCTGGGACCACAGGTGCATGCCACTACGCCTGACTAATTACAAATTTTTTTTTTTGTATAGATGGGTTTCATAATGTTGCCCAGGCTGATCTTGAACCCCTGATCTCAAGCGATGCTCCTGCCTTGGCCTCCCATCATGCTGGGATTAGAGGCGAGAGGACCTGCCCTGGATTGTTTATTCTACTTGCCAATTGTCTGTCTCACCTAGTGGACTGCTCTGTCTTGGTCAACTCTATAACATATCCCCAATGCCTTATTAGGTCCTCAATGGTTTTTGTTTTGGGGATGGCTGGATGAAGGAATGGATGGAGACCCTCCATCCTCGGGATGCCTCTTTTTAGGAACAAAGTGACCTGTTCTTTTGAGCCTGACCAGATGGCAGAGGTAGAACAAGGAAAGCCTAAGACGGGAAGAAAGATTGGAGTGGATTGAGGAGAAGGATGAAGAGCTGGATTAGAGCAATTGAGGGTGGCTGCGAAGACTCAGGGAGGTTTCCAAGGGCGAAGGGCCAAGGACAGAAGCTAGTAGAGCTTCACTGAGCTTGTCCCGGCAGGCAGGACTGGGGCTGGAATGGGTGGGCCTGCGGGTGGGGCGGGGCCGACAGTGGGTGGTGGTCCTGTGATGGGGCGCGGCGGGAAGGGGCGGGTCCTACGGAGGGAGGCGGGGCCTGTCATGGGCCGGGGAGGGAGGCGGGTCCTACGGCGGGAGGCGGGGCCTGAGATGGGGCGGGGCCTGAGATGGGGCGGGGCTGGAGACCGGCCTTACGGCGGGCGGGGCGCGGCCGGGGTGCAAGGCGGGTACTGCAGGCGGCAGCCAGCGCTGCGCGCCGCGGCGGCGGAAAATGGCTGCGGCCCAGGCGGCGGACACTCAGCTGATGCTTGGAGTCGGGCTGATCGGTGAGGACGTAGGCGCCCTGCCTGGAAAACTCTCACCCGGGTTCCGTATCTGCACCACCTTGGCTCGGAGCAGCGCCTGCTCCCGCGGTCCCCAGAGGACCAACATGGAGGGCGCGGCCGATTCCATGTTGGGCCTGGACTGGGGGCTGCGGGGCCAGGCCTCCTTGGCTCAGGGACCCGGCCCGCCGCCCTGGCCCGCCCGCGGCCGCCTGTGGGGCCCGCTCGGCTCCAGGGAGCCCGGGACCTCCCAGATCCCGGGGTGGAGCTTCCCCTGCACGCCCGGGTTTGCTAGGCGGAGCCGGGACGTCTAGCGCGCCCGGGCTGGGGTGGCTGCGAAGGGAGATCTGCGGGCGGGGCCGGGCCGGGCCGGAGCTGCCGGCGGGCGGCGCGGCGGGCAGGAGGCAGGGCCTGGTTCCCCAGAGGGGAACGGGCGCGGGCGGCTGTCTCGGAGCCAAGCGTGACTGCTCGCCCTGGCGGCCCCCCTTCGTGGGACCGGGCGGCTGGAGACTGCTGGGCCGGGTGCTGCGCGTTTCACACACATTGTCTCCTTTTAGCTCTCACCAAGGACCCAGGGGCCGTGGGAAACGACTGACTCCCTCTTTACGGAGGACTAAATGGAGGCCCGGGCTGTCATTGGGCACGGACACACCGTAGGCAGTACAGAGACTGGATGGGGGCGGGGGGAGCCTCAAAGTGTAGCCCGGAGTCCCCAGTCCCCACCAGTGGAGAGCTCCCGCGTCATGTGATCGAGCTTGTGCATAAAGCAGGAGTCTCTACATAATCGTGCGGTGGACTCTCGGTTAGCTCTGAGGAATGTAATTATCTCTCCATAGTTAAAAAATATCACGTTGGGATTTTTGGGCAGCCTTGTGCAGTGTTTAGGGGGTGGAACCCATTGGTTCCCTTCAAAAAAGTTTTATTTCCCTGAGATTTTTGCACACCCCTAAACACTTTCTATTCTCCAAGCTCACAATAACATTGCTGAAGCTTAGCAAAACTGAAGAAATAGCTGGTGATTTTTCAGTGCCTTAAGGCAGTACGTTTTTGTGGGAATGTTTTACTGTATTCATTTCTTTTTCTTTTTTCTTTTTTTTTTTGGACAGGGTCTCGCACTATCCAGGCTGGAGTGCAGCAGCGCAATCACTGCTCAGTACGGCTGCCATCTCCCAGGCTCAAACTATCCTCCTGTCTTGGCCTCCAAATAGCTGGACCACAGGCGTGCACCACCACCCAGATAATTTTTGTATTTTTTTTGTGTAGATGGGATTACCAACATGTTGTCCAGGCGGATTATGTATTTATTTCTAATGTGATTTCCGAACTGCTTCAAAACAAAACCTAAGTAATTTAGTGTCTCCAGAAGGTACTTTTGAATTAAGGCTAAGTTAAACTGTCTTTACCTACTACTAATAGCAAAGAAAAAGATGACATATGATCATATTCTGAAGTCAGAAGGTTTTTTATTATTCACATTAACATGCATTTAAAAGGAGTTTGCAGCCAGCCTGGGCAACGTGCTGCAAACCACTATATCTCTGCAAAATACACAAATTAGCTGGGTGTGGCGACATAGGTGGGAGGATTGCTTGATCCCAGGGGGCAGAGGTTGCAGTGAACCAAGATCGTGCCACTGTACTCCAGCCTCGGTGACAGAGTAAGACCCCCCATCTCAAAAAAAAAAGAAAAAAAGAAAAGAGGCCAGATGTAGTGGCTCACACCTGTAATCCCAGCACTTTTGGAGTTTGAGATCAGCCTGGCCAATAGAGTGAAACCCTGTCTCCACTAAAAAGGCAAAAAACTAGCTGGGTGTGGTGGTGCACGCCTGTAATCTCAGCTACTCAGGAGGCTGAGGCAGGAGAATCACTTAAACCCGAGAGGTGGAAGTTGCACTGCAGCCTGGGTGACAGAGTAAGACCCTTTCTCTAAAGAAAAAAAGATTGTGGGTGTCTTTTTTAATATAATGATTTCCTTTCCTTTCCGAAGATACCCAGTAGTGGGATTACTGGGTGGAATGGTAGTTCTGTTTTCAATAACAATTTTTTAACGGCCGGGCGCGGTGGCTCAAGCCTGTAATCCCAGCACTTTGGGAGGCCGAGGCGGGTGGATCACGAGGTCAAGAGATCGAGACCATCCTGGTCAACATGGTGAAACCCCATCTCTACTAAAAATACAAAAAATTAGCTGGGCATGGTGGCACGTGCCTGTAATCCCAGCTACTCAGGAGGCTGAGGCAGGAGAATTGCCTGAACCCAGGAGGCGGAGGTTGCGGTGAGCCGAGATCGCGCCATTGCACTCCAGCCTGGGTAACAAGAGCGAACCTCCGTCTCAAAAAAAAAAAAAAAAAACAATTTTTTATTTATAGTTTTTAGAGATAGTTTTTAGAGTTTTAGTCTCTGTTTCCTAGGCTGGAGTGCAGTGGTGTGTAGCTCACCACTACCTTTAAATCGTGGGCTCAAGCGATCCTTCCACCTTAGCTTCCTAAGTAGCTGGGACCACAGCACATTCCACCATGCCCAGCTAATTTTTAATTTTTTTTTTTTTGGGGTAGAGATGCGGTCTCACTATGTTGCCCAGGTTGGTCTGGAACTTTTGGCCTCAGGCGATCCTCTTGTCTTCCCAAAGTGTTAGGGTTTACAGGCATGAGCCATTATGCTTGGCCTAAAAAATTTTAAATACAAAATTCACACAATTGGTATGCAATGTGGTTTGAAAGATTTCACCTTTTTTTTTTTTTTTTTAATCTCCAGTTTTGTTTTTGACGAACCTTTTCTATGTATTTCTTAAGAATTATTCCACCCAGCACTTTGGGAGGCTGAGGCGGGGCAGATCACCTGAGGTCAGGAGTTTTAAGACCAGCCTGGCCAACGTGGTGAAACCCCATCTCCACTAAAAATACAAAAATTAGCCGGGCGTGGTGGTGGGTGCCTGTAATCCCAGCTACTCAGGAGGCTGAGGCAGGGGAATTGCTTGAGCCTGGGAGTTGGAGCTTGTAGTGAGCCAAAATTGTGCCAGTGCACTCCAGCCTGGGTGACAGAGCGAGATTCCACCTCAAAAAAGAAAAAAAAAAAAAGAATTATTCCAAATAGATAAAAACTTAATGTAATTTTAGTTTATAGGCATTTGTGTGGGAGGAGATAGGGAGGAACTCTGCCATATCTCTGAGGCTGAATATTCAGTCATGGTTTGTTATAAAAGCTTTTTACGCAGGGTGTGGTGGCTCATGCCTGTAATTCCAGCACTTTGAGAGGCTGAGGCATGCGAATAATGAGGTCAGGAGTTGGAGACCAGCCTGGCCAACAGAGAGACCCTCGTCTCTACTAAAAAAAAAATCCAAAAATAGCTGGGTGTGGTGGTGGGTGTCTGTAATCCCAGCTACTGTAGAGGCTGAGGCAGGAGAATCACTTGAACCCGGGAGGCAGAGGTTGCGGTGAGCCAAGGTGGCGCCACTGCACTCCAGCCTGGGCGACAGGGTGAGACTCCGTCTCAAAAAAAAAAAAGTTTTTTACTCAGGTGCCCTATAATTCTGGATCATGAGAGCCAGATAATTTGAGCAGTAGCGATAGATGGGAATTTGGGGTCTCAAGTACTCTGAGTTGCTTTGTAAAATGGGGTGTTAAAACTGATTCCGCTAAGTGCTTCTGAGTAACCAATCAATTCACTTCCTTGCTACTGTTTGACATTCTCACAGTGACCATCTTTCCACCGTAGAAAAGGACACAAATGGAGAAGTTCTGTGGGTGTGGTGTTATCCTTCCACGACAGCCACATTAAGGAGCCTGCTGCTGAGGAAATGCTGCCTTACAGATGAAAACAAACTTCTCCATCCCTTTGTCTTTGGTCAGTACAGAAGAACGTGGTTTTATATCACAACAATTGAAGTTCCAGATTCTTCTGTTTTGAAAAAGGTATGATTGCATGAAGGTAAAAAACCCCAAAATATTTAAAGTGATGTAAGATTATTCTAATAACCCTTAACTTTAGACCTTATTCACAGTATACTTTTGAAAATATTAAATATTATTTTCATTGGGAGTATTCACACTTCACTCTCATTCATTCTATAAATATTTATTGTTGTCTAGTATATGACGGACCCTGTGGTTGATACAGTGGTGAGCAGTGCAATATGTGGTCTCTTCCCTTTTTTTTTTTTTGATTTTTGAGATGGAGTTTTGCTCTGTTGCTCAGGTTTGAGTGCAATGGTGCAATCTTGGCTCACTGCAACTTCGGCGTCCCGGGTTCAAGCTATTCTCCTGCCTCAGCCTCCTGAGTAGCTGGGGTAACTGGGGTAACAGGTGCCTGCTGCCATGCCTGGCTATTTTTTTTTAATTTTTTTTTAGTAGAGACAGGGTTTCACCATGTTGGCCAGACTGGTCTTGAACTCTTGACCTCAGGTGATATGCCCAGCCAGGATCTATTGAGAATTTAGAAAGGTTAATTAAGGAAACTCATGTATTAAGTAGACTTCTTGGTGTATTGTTTGATATGAACAGTATCAGTGTAACGTGGAAGACTAGGATGTGGTAATCGTGACCTTTCCTAATCCCAAGCAACCAGCAGGTTTTTTCAAAGAATAGAATATTTGAACAAAGTGGCATGTACCCAGATAGACATTTTTTCCCGTTTTAGGGCTAATATATAGCCACTAATGGGACTGTGAAGCATGACTAGAATACCAGCTTAAATTTAAGAAATTACATTTAAAAGAGCAGGAAGGTGACAATTTAGAAACTGTAGAAGGCTTAAGACAAAACAGATTCATAATTACAAAAGAAGATAGGATTCTTTTTTATTTTAACTTCAATTTTTAATTTTTTTTTTTTTTTTTGAGCCAGAGTCTCACTTTGTCACTCAGGCTGGAGTGCAGTGGTGCAATCATGTCTCACTGCAGCCTTAATCTCCTGAGCCCAAGTGGTCCTCCCACTTCAGCTCCCTGAGTAGCTGGGAGCACAGGCGTGCACCACTGTCCCCTGCTAGTTTTTAAATTTTTTGTAGAGACGAGGTCTTCCTCTGTGGCCCAGGCTGGTCTTGAACTCCTGGGTTCAAGCGGTCCTCCTGTCTTTGCCTCCTAAAGTGCTGGCATTACAGGCATGAGCCACTGCACCCAGCCAAGAAGATAGCTTTCAATATGTAATGAAATCTTTGGTTTATTGCTTGATACGTTTTTTTTTTTTTGATGGAGTTTTGCTCTTGTTGCCCAGGCTGGCGTGCAGGGGCAAGATCTTGGCTCACTGCAACCTTCGCCCCCGAGGTTCAAGTGATTCTTGTGCCTCAGCCTTCCAAGTAGCTGGGACTACAGGCATGTGCCACCACGCCTGGCTACTCTTTATTTTAAATGTATCTCTTCAAAGTTTTGTATTTATAAAATTCTAAATTTTGTCTCATTGGTGGAAATATTAGATATATGATTATCAGAAATTTATACTTATAATAATAGAGGCATATAAGTAAATGGAGCTCCTTTTTCCCTCCCCTCTGCCCAGACAGAGTCTCGCTCTTTTGCCCAGGCTTGAGTGCAGAGTTGCAATTTCAGCTCACTGCAACCTCCGCCTCCTGGGTTCAAGCAATTCTCTGCCTCCACCTCCTGAGTAGTTGGGATTATAGGTATGTGCCACCACGTCTGGCTAATTTTTGTATTTTTAGTAGAGACAGGGTTTCACTATCTTGGCCAGGCTGGTCATGAACTCCTGACCTCATGATTCACCTGCCTGAGCCTCCCAAAGTGCTGGGATTACAGGCATGACCTGCCTGTCTAAAGCTTCTTATAATAGTACTTTTTAGCTTACCGCACTCTTTAGAGAGTTAGTTCAGGAGCTGTATGATTGTTACTGAGATATGTTTTGTTATTTTCCATCCTTAGATAATGAAGACCAGTTGCTAGCAATAGAGCTATAGGGTGACTATGTTTAAGAATAATCAACTATAGGCCGGGCGCGGTGGCTCAAGCCTGTAATCCCAGCACTTTGGGAGGCCGAGGCGGGTGGATCACGAGGTCAAGAGATCGAGACCATCCTGGTCAACATGGTGAAACCCCGTCTCTACTAAAACTACAAAACATTAGCTGGGCATGGTGGCACGTGCCTGTAATCCCAGCTACTCAGGAGGCTGAGGCAGGAGAATTGCCTGAACCCAGGAGGCGGAGGTTGCGGTGAGCCAAGATCGAGCCATTGCACTCCAGCCTGGGTAACAAGAGCGAAACCCCGTCTCAAAAAAAAAAAAAAAAAAAAAAAAAGAATAATCAACTATAAATTTCAAAATAGCTAGAAGAGAATAATTTGAAAATAATTTGAATGTTTTTATCATAAAGAAAAGATAAATAGGCTGGGTGTGGTGGCTCATGCCTGTAATCTCAGCACTTTGGGATGCTGAGGTGGGTGGATCATTTGAGGCCAGGGGTTCGAGACCAGCCTGGCCAACAGAGTGAAACACTGTCTCTACTGAAAATGCAAAAAATTAGCTGGCCATGGTGGTGCGTCTGTAATCCCAGCTACTCGGGAGTTTGGGAGGCTGAGGCATGAGAATCACTTGAACCTGGGAGGCAGAGGTTACAGTGAGCTGAGCTCACACCACTGTACTCCGGCCTGGGTGACAGAGCAAGACTGTCTCAAAAAAACAAAAAAAAAAAAGAAAAGAAAAAGAAGAGATATACCAGAAAAATATGTATATCTATTATGTATTAATAAAAATAAGTAAAATAAGGGTGTGGTGGTATGTGTCTGTAGTCCCAGCTACTTGAGAGGCTGAGGCAGGAGGATCTCTTGATTCCAGGAGTTCAAGTCCAGCCTAGGCAACATAGTGAAACCCTCAACTCAAAAAAAAGAAAAAAAAGGTAAAGTAGTGAAAAAATGTGGCGGAGTGGCATGTGCCTGTAATCCCAGCTACTCAGGAGGCTGAGGCAGGAGAATTGCCTGAACCCAGGAGGCGGAGGTTGCGGCGAGCCGAGATCGCGCCATTGCACTCCAGCCTGGGTAACAAGAGCGAAACTCCGTCTCAAAAAAAAAAAAAAAAAAAAACCACGAAAAAATGTGGGGGAGAAAAGATAAGCAGTTGCTAAATTGGTAAATCTGATTTAGCACTTCTTTCTTCTGCTTTGATGAGATTAGGGGACCTTAAGTAGAAGTGTACTTTTTTTATATTTGAGTGAAGTATTTTTGATTTCTGAAAAATTTTTTTCTATAAGTACTGCATGCTTATGTAGGAAATTAAGTATATATGTATATGTAATATATGTGCACATGCAAAAGTTTAAAGAAGCAAGTGAGGACTTGTTACATTTTGGTCTTTTCCTTTTAATACTGTTATGTCTTTTACAAAAGGTTTGTTAGAATATAGTAATAAAAATTAATTCTGCTGAAGTGTCTTTAAAAAGGATTTTTTCGTTTGTTTCTTTTGAACAGGTGACTCATTTTTCTATTGTTCTGACTGCCAAAGATTTTAACCCAGAGAAGTATGCTGCCTTCACTAGGATATTGTGTAGGTCTGTATAAAAATTGTATTAAATGCTAATATACAAAATGAAGATCTTACCTTAGTTACATAACAGATTTCTACACTGAGAAAGCAAAATTCAGCCTTGTGTCTCCAACACAATCTTTAGTAGCCCTTCACAGGCTGTAAAGAGGGCCTTTCTGTTTTGCTTTGTCGATAGTTCTCCTCTTATTTGGTTAATGATCTAGGGGAAGAGAAGCAGCAGTTTCTGTAGCTATTGTAGTTCCTGGGTGTTTTGAGTCACTTCCTACTTTTGGTCTGTTACTTCTGTTCACTTCCAGTCTAGAATTTCCTTAGTAGGTTGGATAAGTTAAGTGAGTTATGACTTGGCAAACTGGTTCATATGTGTCAAGGTCTGTGTGTGGCAATCATTTTGGCAAATAATTATGCTGAAGCACAAGAACACATTTCTTAGCTGGAATGGTGAGAAGCTAGGGAATTCTCATTAATTGGTTAGTCATGATTCAGGTAGACTCTTAGTTTCATCCCTGTTGTTGGAAAATTTATCTAAAATATACCAGAATGTTTTTTCTTTTCTTTTTTTTTTTTTGAGACAGGGTCTCACTCTGTTGCTCAGGCTGGAGTGCAGTGGCTTCATCATGGCAAACTGCAGTCTCGACCTCCCAGGACTCAAGTGATCCTCCCAGCTCAGCCTCCTATGTAGCAAGGACTGCAGGCGCACACCCCCATGCCTAGCTAATTTTTTGTATTTTTGTATTTTTTGTAGTGACAGGGTTTTGCCATGTGCCCAGGCTGGTCTCAAGCGATCTGCCCATGTTGGCCTCCCAAAGTGCTGGGATTATAGGCGTGATGAAACTCTTCTTTATGTTAAAGATAATTAGCTCTTTCCTTTTTTTTTTTTTTTTTTTTTTCTTTTTTTTCTTCTAGAGACATCCTGCTCAGGAAAGCGCTTTCTTAATGATGAGGGCTTTTAGTGGGGCGATCTCTGCTCACTGCAACCACTGCCTCCCAGGTTCAAGCGATTCTCCTGCCTCACCCTCCCAAGTAGCTGAGATTACAGGCTTGTGCCACCACCCCTGGCTAATTTTTGTTTTTTTAGTAGAGATGGAGTCTCATCATGTTGGCCAGGCTGGTCCTGACCTCAAGTGATCCACTTGCCTCGGCCTCCCAAAGTGTTGGGATTACAGGCGTGAGTCACCTCACCCAGACTTGCAGAGTTTCAATTGTGATTTTGTTTTTGTTTTCGTTTTTTTCTAGAGACAGGGTCTTGTTCTTTTGCCTAGCCTGGAGTGCAGTGTCATGATCATAGTTCATTGTAACCTTGAACTCCTAAGCAGAAGAAATTCTCTCACCTCGACCTCCCAAGTAGTTAGGACTGCAGGTGCGTGCCATTGCTCCTGGCTAATTAAAAAATATACACATATCAGGCCGGGCGCGGTGGCTCACGCCTGTAATCCCAGCACTTTGGGAGGCCGAGGCGGGTGGATCACGAGGTCAAGAGATCGAGACCATCCTGGTCAACATGGTGAAACCCCGTCTCTACTAAAAATACAAAAAAAAATTAGCTGGGCATGGTGGCGCGTGCCTGTAGTCCCAGCTACTCAGGAGGCTGAGGCAGGAGAATTGCCTGAACCCAGGAGGCGGAGGTTGCGGTGAGCCGAGATCGCGCCATTGCACTCCAGCCTGGGTGACAGAGTGAGACTTCATCAAAAAAAAAAAAAAAAAAAAAAAAAAAAGTTGTTACTAGATAGAGTTATAATTCTAGGTATTATCATGCTACTCTCAGCCCTCAGGCTTTTGCCTGGTACATACATTTTTGGGGGCACTGCTGGTAAAGGGAATTGTTTTTGTTTCATAAACTCAATAAGTGGTTCCCTTTCGGCTATTTTTGTGCATGAATGTATATACACACCAAAAAAAAAAAAAAGGGCGAGGAGAGAAAAAAACTCTAGCGTAAGAGTATCTTCTCATTACTTAAGGGTTTCACTTAGATTATATTTTGGCTAAATGAGATTTCACCATTTTTGCAGCCAGCCAGAATGAAAAAGCTTCCTACTCTCATAAGAAATTCCGGGTGAATGGTCTCACTGTGGATAAACAGTTGTCTGCTAATGTGGCACTTACACAAAGGGAGATTATGATTGCCAGAAGAGATGCTATCCAGAAGCCGTAAACTAAAAATACCGCAGAGGTATTTTTTTTTGCAAACATGGGACTCCCATTTCATTTGGTTGAATCAGGGGTATGTTGCTCAACTGAATTCACTGGGTAATATTGTGGAGTCCAACAGGCAAGGTTGCTTCAGACCCCACTTCCTTCCCAGAAAGAGGCCCAGAGGGTTTCTCACTGGATTTCCTCTCCCATCACGGTGCAAGAGAAGTGAGGGCTCAGAGCTACTGCCAGCCACCTCCTCTGCTTCCTGCGCCTTACTGCAGCACTATGCTTACCCAGTATTTGTACACACACACGTCTGCGTGTACATGCACACACGCAGGCAAACAGTTTTCTTTTTTTTTTTTCTTTTAAGATGGGGTTTCACCATGTTGGTCAGGGTGGTCTTGAACTCCCTACCTCAGGTGATCCTCCCACCCTGGCCTCCAAAGTGCTTGGATTACAGGCGGGAGCCACTGCGCCTGGCAGGCAAACAGTTTTTCATGACAGTAAGGTTGACGTGGAGTTGCCCCTCTCCATTTCTGGTGAGAGGAGCAGGCAGGCGTGCCTTCCACACACAGCATGCTGCTCACAGCGGCAGTGGAAGCCCACAGGAAAAAACCTTATTCCTGCTGTGGCTGCAGGTTAACTGCCATGGTCCCCGTCAGCCTTTAGTCGCTTGCAGCTGTGGCCCTGCTGGAGAACCGGAGTTTTCATGCACACTTGGAGTCAGCTGTCCAGGCCAGGTGTGGCAGCCTATGGATGTCTGTCTGAACAAGGTCCTCTGGGTTGCACTATGGGCTTTTCCTGTGGAGTGGTTTTGGGGGGATTTCCCCCTCTGTTTTATCTCTCCTGGCCCAGGGGTATCATGTAGGAAGTCATCTTATCCTACCAACCTTATGTTTCTTTTCTCTATTACTGTGTATTATTTCTATTTTATTATTATTTTTGAGACAGAGTCTTACTCTGTCACCCAGGCTGGAGTGCAGTGGGGCCATCTTGGCTCACTACAACCTCCACCTCCTGAGTTTAAGCAGTTTTTGTGCCTCAGCCTCCCAAATAGCTGGAGTTACAGGTGCATACCACCACACCTGGTGAATTTTTATATTTTTAGTAGAGACAGTGTTTCACCATGTTGGTCAGGCTGGTCTCGAACTCCTGGCCTTAAGTGAGCTTCCTGCCTCGGCCCCCAGAGTGCTGGGATTATAGGTGTGAGCCACAGCACTCAGCCTCTATTTTAGAATGTTAATGGCATTTTGATTTTTTTGTTATTGGTGATAATAAAGCACATTTAGAAATTCAGGAGGATATACAGTGTAAACTAAGCTCCCTCCTCCTCCTGTTACCAGACTCCAGTTCTACCTCCTGACCCCCACCCCACACAACTCCCGTGGCCTCCTTTATATCCTATCAGAGAAGTTTTCTCCCTGTGTGATCTTGTGTGTGAGTTCCTGGGTTTGAATGTATTTTACATTTGTGAAAGCTTTTCACATTCATTGTTCTCTACCTTTTTTCCCTCAAATTGTGGATTGAAATAATTTTTTAAAAACCACTGATGATTGATAAAAGTTGGTAAGCAGTTAAAACACTTGCTTTTTTCACTTAGTCTATGATAAATATAATTTTCCAGTGATCTTTTTTTTTTTTTTTTTTTTTCCTGAGACGGAGTCTCGCTTTGTTGCCCAGGCTGGAATGCAGTGGTGTGATCTTGGCTCACTGCAACCTCCACCTCCTGGGTTCAAGCAATTCACCTGCCTCAGCCTCCCGAGTGGCTGGGACTACAGGCATGAGCCACCACACCCAGCTAATTTTTTTTTTTTTTTTTTTTTTTAAGATGGGGTTTCACCATGATGGCCAGGCTGGTCTTGAACTCCTGACCTCAGGTGATCCACCCACCTCGGCCTCCCAAAGTGCTAGGATTACAGGCGTGAGCCACCGCGCCTGGCTAATTTTTGTATTTTTAATAGAGACGGAGTTTCACCATGTTGGCTGGGCTGGTCTTGAACTCCTGGCTTCAAGTAATCGCCCGCATCGGCCTCCCAAAGTTCTGGAATTACAGGCGTGAGCCACCATGCCTGGCCCTCAAGTGATCTTTTTTATTTATTTTACTTATTTTATTTTATTTTTAAATTATTCTTACAAAACCACAATCAGAAGAACGTGACCTGTCTTAAATATGTTTTATTTTCTTCCTGATTTTCTATCCTATCAGCTCCTGAAAGGCCCCAATAGACCCAGTCATGTTTCTCAAGCAAAATTTAGTTTTAGTTGCTCACAGGAAGATATTTCAAGGGGAAGAGATGGATTCCACATGTGAGCTATAAATGCAGCCAGTTTCCTACCAGCATTTTCTGGAAGCTTTAACCTGATGATGAATGTCTAATGTGCATTTATCACCAGAAACCTAAAGGAGTTTTGATTTCTTAATTATCTAAATATAGCTACTTCTGGGAACTCTAATAATAAGTATGTGTTCTACAACTAATTACTGCTTTCTCTGTGAACAATGCATAAAACTCCTTTCTTGTCAAAGGAAATCTCAGTAATAAAACAGAGTTGTATGACTAAGAACCCCAGTTGTGAATGTAAGACACAGGATAAGTGCACAACATTCTTGAGAGTCCTGGGACGCCAGGAAGTTCGTAGTTCATTCTCCTGCCTTAGTAACAAAGTGGGGTCCCAGATGTAAAGACAGAGCTGAGTCGGAAGAATTGAAGGTCTTTGAAGCTTTTTTTTTTTTTTTTGACAAAGTCTCAATCTGTCGACCAGGCTGGAGTACAGTGGTGCAATCTTGGCGCATTGCAACCTCTGCCTCCTGGGCAACAGAGTGAGATTCTGTCTCAAAAAATAAAAAAAGAGTCAAGCATTCAGAAGGGCAGTCGCAAGTTGGCTTTGGATCCTTTTTTTTTCTTTTTTTTTGTTGAGATGGAGTTTTGCTTTTGTTGCCCAGGCTGGAGTGCAATGGCTCGATCTCAGGTCACTGCAACCTCCACCTCCCGGGTTCAAGCCATTCTCCTGCCTCAGCCTCCCAAGTAGCTGGGATTACAGGCATGCATCACCACACCCAGCTAATTTTGTATTTTTAGTAGAGTCGGGGTTTCTCCATGTTGGTAAGGCTGGTCTCAAACTCCCTACCTCAGGTGATCCACCTGCCTTGGCTTCCCAATGTGCTGGGATTATAGGCATGAGCCACCGTGCCTGTCCCAGCTTTGGATTCTTGAGAAAGCACCCATGCCGGCCTGGGTGCATATCTCCACATGATTTGTGCCAAGTAAAAGCACAGTTGCTTTGTTTTCCTTTCTTACAGAATGTACCTGAAACATGGGAGCCCAGTTAAAATGATGGAGAGTTATATTGCAGTTCTCACAAAGGGGATATGCCAGAGTGAAGAAAATGGCTCTTTCCTTAGCAAGGACTTTGATGCCCGAAAGGCCTACCTGGCTGGCTCCATCAAAGGTAAGAAGGGAAAAAACAAAACCCATCCCAACAAAAAAATCCCTGAGGCAAAAACAGTCTTTAGATTCTATTGTGCCTAATAGAATAATTAGATAATTAGATGATTATCTAATTGGAATTATCTAGTTACTAGATAATTCTAATCCTCTCATACATTTTTGTTTACATAAATTTTTTCATATCATATTTGTATATAGGAGGGTACCTTTAACTCCTGTATTTCCTTATTAAGTTAGAATTCTTTCAAAGGAAAACAGATTTTTGTAGTGTTCATTTCCATATTCTTTTTCTTTCTTTTTTTTTTTTTTTTTTGAGACAGAGTCTTGCTCTTATTGCCCAGGCTGGAGTGCAGTGATATGATCTCAGCTTACTGCAACCTCCACCTCCTGGGTTCAAGTGATTCTCTTGCATCAGCCTCTTGAGTAGCTGGGATTATAGGCGCTTACCACTGTGCTGGCTAATTTTTGTATTTTTAGTAGAGATGGGGTTTTACCAAGTTCACCAGGCTGATCTCAACTCATCCCCTGTGATCTGCCTTCCTTGGCCTCCCAAAGTGTTGGGATAACAGGCGTGAGCCACCTCGCTTGGCCCATTTCCGTATTCTATTGGCTATTTTAAGAATATTTTCTCACTGGTGGGCTAAATTTTGTGACTCGAGGTCTCCATGGATTCTGTAGTTTTGCTTTTCTTAGATCTTAGCAGTTATCTCTGTCATCTGAAAAGCCTAAGGCCTTGAACTCAAGTTCCTAATTTAAGTTTCAGCTGGAAAATCCAAAATGCAGACAGGCTAGGCCTAAGGCCCAGACTTCAGGGTCCCTGAGCAGGAGGCAAGGAGAACTCTGAAGTCGAGGCTGCCCTCTGTCACGTCCTCCCACAGTGCCCATCTGGCTTTGCTTTTGATTCTGCTGTTCTTTGTGTTTTCTCAGCATCCCTGTTGAGGTGTTAGGTGTTTGTCAGGCTAACTAACTTAAGGACTTAAGTAATGATATTGGGGGCATGGGGGAGTTAATAGACTTATTTTTTTTTTTTTTCCTTTTGAGACAGGGTCTTGCTCTGTCACTGAGGCTGAGTGCAGTGGTAGTGCAATCACGGCTCATTGCAGCCTCGACCTCCTGGGCTCAAGAAAGTCCTCCTGAGTAGCTGAGACTACAGGTGCATGTCACCATGCCCAGCTACTTTTTTTTTTTTTTTTTTTTTTTTGAGACAGAGTCTCACTCTGTCATCCAGGCTGGAGTACAGTGGCACGATCTCAGCTCACTGCAATCTCTGCCTCCTGGGTTCAAGTGATTCTCATGCCTCAGCCTCCCCAGTAGCCGGGATTACGGGCACCTGCTACCACACTCAGCTAATTTTTAAATTTTTACTAGAGATGGGATTTTACCATGTTGCCCAGGCTGGTCTTAAACTCCTGACCTCAGGTGATCCACCTGCCTTGGCCTCGCAAAGTGCTGGAATTACAGGTGTGGAACACTGCGCCCAGCCTGATTTTGTATTTTTAGTAGAGATGGGGTTACACCATGTTGGCCACGCTGGACCCAAACTTCTGACCTCAGGCAGTCTGTCTGCTTCAGCCTCCTGAGGTGCTGGGATTACAGGTATGAGGCACTGTGCCTGGCCTCAGCTAATTTTTAAATGTTTTTTTTGAGACAGAGTCTCCCTATGTTGTCCAGTCTGGTCTCAAACTCCTAGGTTCAAGTGATCCTCTCACCTTGGTCTCCCAAAGTGTTGGGATTACAGACATGAGCCACTCTGCACCTGGCAGGCATTGTTTTTTAAATAAGAAAATTTTAATGATACAGAAAGACACTGATTCCCTTCACATCAATTGTTTTACCTTTTTGTGAGTCTAACTTCCTCTATGCATCCACCATGGAGTCTCTTTCGGGGCAGAGCACACGTGCTGGGAGGTGACATAGGATAGATCCACTTGTCCACCTAATAAAGTGTTTGTATGCTTTACATCATGCGGGGAATGTAACTCAGATATATTTTAATACCAAACAATTCAATATACTATGTGGGTAGTTCTTTGAAGTTTAAAAATCACATTATCTGTGTCTTCTGACAATGTAATAAACTTAAAAAAAAAAGCATTAAAGCATTAAAAAAAAAGTTTATAAGGCCAGGTACTATGGCTCATCCCTGTAATCCTAGCACTTTGGGAGGCTGAGGCGGGCAGATCACAAGGTCAGAAGTTTGAGATCAGCCTGACCAACATGGTGAAACACCGTCTCTACTAAAAATACAAAAATTAGCTACTGTGGTGGCACATGCCTGTAATCCCAAGCTACTGGGGAAGCTCAGGCAGGAGAATCGCTTGAGCCCAGGAGGCAGAGGTTGCAGTAAGCCGATATCACGCCACTACACTCCAGCCTGGGTGACAGAGTGAGATTTGGTCTCAAAATTAAAAAAAAAAAATCCTTTATTTTCTTACATGATGTGTAATGCAGTAACATATGATTTCTCTTTTTTAAAGACATTGTATCTCAGTTTGGAATGGAAACTGTTATCTTACACACAGCACTGATGCTAAAGAAAAGAATTGTGGTATATCACCCGAAAATAGAAGCGGTCCAGGAATTTACCAGGTATCATCTCTAATTATGAAAACGGGTTAACTTTGTTGGCAGACAGTTTGGGGCATTAGATGTTACTGTGTGCTCTGTCCTGTTGCACATTTGCTATAAATAGCATGTGTTAGTCTGGAGGTGAAATACCACCTTTGGTCTGAAGTTTCTGTTTAGAATCTAGTAGTTCAAGGTCACTGATTTGGACAGATTCTTCTTTAACTTAAGAGATAAGACTATTTTAGAGCAGCGAGTTAGCAAACTTTTCCTTGCCAAACAGTAAATATTTTAGGTTTGTGAGCCAAATGGTCACTGTCCGAACTACTCAACTGTCTTGGTAGCACAAAAACAGCCATAGCTGGGTGCAGTGCTCATGCCTATAATCCCAGCACTTTGGGAGGCTGAGGCGGGTGGATCACAAGGTCAGGAAATGGAGACGATCCTGGCCAACATGGTGAAACCCCATCTCTACTAAAATGCAAAAGCCAGCCAGGAGTGGTGGCGTGCTCCTGTAGTCTCAGCTACTCAGGAGGCTGAGGCAGGGGAATCACTTGAACCTGGGAGGCAGAGGTGGCAGTGAGCCGAGATCGTACCACTGCACTCCAGCTTGGCAACAGAGTGAGACTCAGTTTAAAAAAAAAAAAAAAATAGCTAGACAACACGAATGCAAATGACTCAGCATGGCTGTGGTTAGTGAAACTTTATTTTCAAGGACAGGCCATAATTTGCTGACCCGTTTTAGGTACATTGTTCCTTCTCTTCAATTTTATCAAAGACTCTTTATTTTTTCTTGTTTTAATTAAAAACTTTGAGAGTGGGCCGGGCGAGGTGGCTCATGTCTGTAATCCCAGCACTTTGGGAGGCCAAGGCGGGCAGATCATGAGGTGAAGAGATCGAGACCATTCTGGCCAACATGGTGAAACGCTGTCTCTACTTAAATACGAAAATTAGCTGGGCATGGTGGCGCGAGCCTGTAGTCCTAGCTACTTGGGAGGCTGAGGCGGGAGAATTGCTTGAACCCAGAGGGCGGAGGTTGCAGTGAGCTGAGATCGTGCCACTGCCCTCCAGCCTGGCACCTGGGGACAGAGTGAGACTCTGTCCCAAAAAAAAAAAAAAAAAACTTTTTTTTTGAGAGCAGGACAAAGACATTTATTTTGATGGTGTATATATAGATTTTTTTCTTTTTTTCTTATTTTATTTTTTGTTATTTACAGCTTTGAAGGGTCTCTTGATGATCATATATAGATTTTTTAAATTTTATTTTTATTTTTAGTAGAGGTGGGGTTTTGCTGTGTTGCCCAGGCTGGCCTCAAACTCCTGGGCTCCAGCGATCCTCATGCTTTGGCCTCCCAAAGTGCTGGGATTACAGGCATGAGCCACTATGCCTAGCTAAAATACATATAGATTTTGTTGTTGTTTTGTTTTTATTTTTTTAATTTTTTTTTCTATTTTAAAACATCTTTTTATCAACATCTGGATGGCCTTGCTGTAGTTTTGTTTTTATTTTTGTTTGAGATGGAGTCTCACTGTCTTGCCCAGGCTGTAGTACAATGGTATGATCTCGGCTCACTGCAGCCTCTGCCTCCCAGGTTCAAGTAATTCTCCTGCCTTAGCTTCCTGAGTAGTTGGGATTATAGGCGCCTGCCACCACACCCAGCTAATTTTTGTATTTTTAGTAGAGACGGGTTTCACCATGCTGGCCAGGCTGGTCTCCAACTCCCGACCTCAGATGATCCGCCTGCCTTGGCCTCCCAAAGTGTTGGGGTTACAGGCGTGAGCCACCGTGCCCAGCCTTCTTGTTGTTAATTTTTTGCCAGGGAGTTGGCCCAGGGCCAGGAGGTGCCTGCCAGGCCCTGCTTCCTCTAGCTGCCCCTCCACCTGCCATACAGATAAAGAGTTTTTGTTAACAAAATCTAACTTGTTACCAGGTCCTTTTAAATTTTCTTCTTTTTTTTTTGAAAAAAAAGTTTTTTTTCAAAAAAAAAAAAAAAGTTTCGCTCATGTTACCCAGGCTGGAGTGCAATGGCGCGATCTCGGCTCACCGCAACCTCCACCTCCTGGGTTCAGGCAATTCTCCTGCCTCAGCCTCCTGAGTAGCTGGGATTACAGGCATGCGCCACCATGCCCAGCTGATTTTTTGTATTTTTAGTAGAGACGGGGTTTCACCATGTTGACCAGAATGGTCTCGATCTCTTGACCTCGTGATCCACCTGCCTCGGCCTCCCAAAGTGCTGGGATTACAGGCTTGAGCCACCGCGCCCGGCCCTTCATTTTTGTTTTATTCTACATTTTTTGTAGAGACGGGGGTTTCTGAGGTGTCACTCTATTGCCCAGGCTAATTTCAAACTCCTGGCCTCAAGTGATCTTCCAGCCTCTACCTCCTAAAGTACTGAGATTACAGACATGAACCACCACACCAGCCATTAGGTCCTTTTTTAAAAGCAAGAGGACTTAGCATTCATGTTGGGTTTACTGTATGCCAGGCATTTCATAAAATATCTTAAATCAGGTCAAGCGCGGTGTCTCACGAGGTCAGAGTTTGAGATCAGCCTGGCCAATATGGTGAAACCCTATCTCTACTGAAAATAAAAAAATTAGCCGGGCATGGTAGTGCGTGCCTGTAATCCCAGCTACTCAGGAGGCTGAGGCAGGAGAATTGCTTGAACTTGGGGGGAAGAGTTTGCAGCGAGCCGAGATCACGCCACCGCACTCCAGCCTGGGCAACAGAGTAAGACTCTGTCTCAAAAATAATAATAAGATACATTAAATTTACTCATAATGAGAACCCTGCAAGGACGTAATATTACCCTGTTTTATGAATGAGAAAATTAAGGTTGGCAGAGGATAGGTAGGTAGTAAGGTAATGAAAAGAAGAAAGGCTTCATAGTCAGAAAGTCCTGAGTTAAAATCTTGGGAGGGCAACTTATTAGCTCTGTGAACACCTAAAAGATACTGAATGTTGGCCATGCATGGTGGCTCACACCTGTAATCCCAGCACTTTGGGAGGCTGAGGCTAGCAGATTGCTTGAGACCAGGGGTTAAGACCAGCCTGGGCAAAACAGCAAAACCCCATCACTATGAAAAATACAAAAATTAGCCAGGCATGGTAGCATGCACCTCTAGCGCCAGCTACACAGGAGACTGAAGTAGGGGGATCGGTTGAGCCCAGGAGGTGGAGGGTGTAGTGAGCCATGATCAGGTCACTGCACTCCAGCCTGGATGACGGAGTAAGACCCTGTCTCAAAAACAAAATAAAAGATATTGAATGTTTCTGAGCCTGTGTTCCTTTATCTGTAACATGAAGATCATATCTACCTTGTAAGTTTGGAAATAATTTATATAAGATGCTTAACATGTACCTAGCCTGTAAGACACATTTTAGAAGTTATTATTGTTATGATCATGATTGCATCAGATTTTAAGTGAGAGGGCCAGAACTTTTACCCTGTCCTCTCTGAGTCCAAAAGCCTGTATTTTCTATCCCATCACCTTTCCCCCCTCTATGTATGCTACTTAAACTGGAGCAGCCACAGTTTCTGAGATCTTTAGCAGGGCACCGGGGGGTTCATGAAGCCACAGATAAATTTGATACATCTTGTTGCAGTCATTATTCCACCATAAGTTTTTTTCAGGGAAACCTGTGTTGTAGGAAAACAAACACACATGGTTTGCGAGTTTTACTAGAATTTTAAATATAAATGGGAGACTTCCAGGAAATTTCTTACTTGCAGAAGCGACTTTACCCTCAGACTCCCTCTACATGGCAGTCTGCAGAGTGGGATGTTCAGAGAAAAACCTTAGAAGCATCACTGCTTGCTACCATGGGGATATTTTGAAACTTCACCTTGAGCTTTCTGTAGCTGATCTGATCCCCAAAAGCAGAGTTTAAAACATTGCATAGATGCTGGGTGCAGTGGCTTACACCTGTAATCCCAGCACATTGGGAGGCCAAGGCAGGCAGGTCATCTGAGGTTGGCAGTTCAAGGTCAGCCTGGCCAACATGGTCAAACCCTGTCTTTACTAAAAATAAAAAAGTTAGCCGGGCGTGGTGGCAGGTCCCTGTAGTCCCAGCTATTTGGGAGGCTGAGGCAGGAGAATCACTTGAACCCATGAGATGGAGGTTGCAGTGAGCCAAGATCATGCCATTGCACTCCAGCCTAGGCAACAAGAGTGAAACTCCATCTCAAAAAGTAAATAAACAAATAAAAAAGAAAACATTGCATTGCTTTAATTCGAAGCCCAGAGGTTAGCACATTTGGGGCTTGTTCTCACCTCTGTCTCTGATTAGCTAGAGACTCTACCCTCTTCATTTCCTCCCCAGGAAGAGGAGAAGGGCAGGCTGAGTCTTTTTCTTTTTCTTTTTTCTTTTTTTTTTTTTTAAAGAGATGAGGTTTCACCATGCTGGCCAGGATGGTCTCGATCGATCTCCTGACCTCGTGATCTGCCCACCTCGGCCTCCCAAAGTGCTGGGATTACAGGTGTGAGCCACTGTGCCCGGCCCTCAGGCTGAGTCTTTAAGGTGTGGACCAGCAACAACTTGAGTTCTTGCCTTGATTCCCCAGGACTCTGCCTGCCCTGGTGTGGCACCGACAGGACTGGACCATCCTTCACTCTTACGTGCACCTCAACGCCGATGAACTGGAAGCCCTGCAGATGTGCACAGGTAGACAAGAGGATCCCAGGGAAGGAACTGTTCCACTTTTATTTAATTTTTGTTTTTATTAAGATGGAGTTTCACTCTTGTTGCCCAGGCTGGAGTGCAGTGGCACAATCTCGGCTCACCGAAACCTCCACCTTCTAGTCTAGGTTCAAGCAATTCTCCTGCCCCCTCACCCTCCTGAGTAGCTGGGATTGCAGGCATGGACCACCATGCCTGGCATAGTAGAGATGAGGTTTCTCCATGTTGGTCAAGCTGGTCTCAAACTCCCGACCTCAGGTGATCTGCCCGCCTTGGCCTCCCAAAGTGCTAGGATTACAGGCATGAGCCACCACATCTGGCCCGAACTAATCCACTTTAAAGAGGGTTTTTTTGTTTTTATTTTGTGTGCATTCCTTTTTTTTTTTCTTTTTTTCCTTTTCTTTTTTTTTTCTATTTTTTTCCCAAAGTTTTACCTGTTTGTTGTCAAAATATTTCGTGTGCATTCCTAAGTGGAATACTGATTCTTTTTTTTTTTTTTTTTTT